CTTCTCTTTTATTTTTTTCTTGATTACTTTACTATTTAATCACTACAAATAAACAGATTTATTATTTTCAGTTTTACTGGGTTTTTTTGTTCTAACTTTTATTTTTTTCTTCTTTAGGTTTATGATTTTCTTTATTTTGCCAAGCTGGAAGTTAAATTGTTGATTTCAGAATAATTTCAGCCCTTTCCCCCCTAACTTAAGCTCAGGAACATGGTTTTTGTTTTTTTTTTTTCTTCCTTGAATAGGAATAGTGACTTCCAATCCTTCTTTGATCTGAGAGAGAAATCTTTGACTTTCGCCATTGGGTTCGATGTTTCCTTACAATTACTAATTTGTTGAGTTTAGTGAGTTTTACTCCTAGGTGTTTTTTCTTCTTCTTTTTTATTTTTATTATTATTATTTTTTTAAATATTTATTTATTTGTACATACAGAGCTGGGGTACAGGCCAGAGGCTCAGGGGCGGTGAGAGGCTTCACCAAAGACAGAGTGGGGAGCAGAACAGGCAGATCAATGAAGCACACTGCTGAGGGGAGCAGCGGGCAGGTCAGGAGAGGTCTGCCTCGCCATGTGGTCACCTCCGGGGCAGGCGGGGATCGAACTCATGAGGAAGTGGCTTTAGCTTCTCAGTGCTGTGCTTTAACCCGCTGCGCCACCAGGGAAGGCCTCTTCTTCTTTTTTAAATCAGGAAACATGTTGGGTTTCTATCTTTTTTTTTTTTCTGCGTCACTTGAAATGGTCAGGTTTTTCTCATATTCACTAATTTTATTTTGAATTATCCTTGAATTCCTGAAATAAATCTCACTTGGTGTATAATCTTTGTATTTTCAGCAGTATTTTGCTGAAAGTTTTATGGGTCTGAGAAGATATTCTTTATGATATCTATCTTAAAAATTTATTGAGATACAATTTGTGGCCTAACATATGGCCTACCCTGGAAAATACTCCATGTGTACTTAAGAAGAATGTATATGCTGTTTTGGGATTGTGTGTTCCCTATATATCTGCTAGGTTGAATTGATTTATTGTATTTCAGATTCTCTATTTCCATACATTTTGTCTGGTTTTTCTATCCATTATGGAAAGTGGAATGCTATACGATTATTAATATGGCACTATATTTCTTCCTTCAGTTCTGTCACTTTTTGCAACACTATTTTAGCCTCATTAGATAAATAAGTACTCATAATTGTTATATTTCAGTACTGTAATGAACTTTTATTAATAGATATATGTTCTTTGTAATCTATTATGATTAAAAGTATATTTTAAAATAATTGGTAACATTTGTATAATTATGGATTGTCTTTTCTGTTTTTTTTTTTTAATTTTATTTTTAAGATTTATTTATTTACGCATACAGAACTGGGATACAGACCAGAGGTGCAGGAGAAGCGAGAGGATTCACCAGAGATAGACTGGGGAAGTAGAACAGGCATATTGACAAAGTATACTGCTAAGGGGAGCAGAGGGCGAGACAGGAGAGGTGTGCCACGCCATATAGGTCACCTCCCTAGCCAGGGATTGAACTGATGCTGAGATAGCTGCGGCCGACTTCGCAGTGCTGTTCTTTAATCTGTTGTGCCACCAGTGTGTGCCCAGCCTTCTGTTTCTTTTATATAACTAACCTCTAATGACCAGTTTGCCAGTATAACATTCTCTTCTTAAGCTGCTATTGATTGTCTCTTGAATGAAAAGTATGATTTTCTTAGAATATCCAAAAACAAGCCTGAGGTAGGTTGCCAATCACTGATTTGTCTTGAAACTTTTTTTAAAGATTTATTTATTTGTGCATACAGAACTGGGGTACAGGCCAGAGGCTCAGGGGCGGCGAGAGGCTTCACCAGAGACAGAGTGGGGAGCAGAACAGGCAGATCGACGAAGTACACTGCTGAGGGGAGCAGCGGGCGGGTCAGGAGAGGTCTGCCACACCATGTGGTCACCTCCGGGGCAGGCGGGGATCGAACTCATGCGGAAGTGGCTTTAGCTTCTCGGTGCTGTGCTTTAACCCGCTGCGCCACCAGGGAGGGCCTGTCTTGAAACATTAAAAAAAAAAAAATTTTAGGTTTAAAATATATTTTTACCCAGGATATATTTTTTTTCCTTGCTTTTTTAAAATAAATAAAATTCAAGCTTAGGGAAGATTGCTTTTGTCTTAAAAAATAAAACAAAGTTTTTATATCATTTGCTAATCTGATATCATTTTCAAGAGCAACATGGTAGTTACCTAGCAAGAGTAAAACTTACAGTGTGAATGATACAGATCTAATTCTGGTGGTACTATTAGGACACAGTGGCATCCATTGACAAATGGGTGGCATTTGCTGAAAAGAAGCCCTTTCAAATTTCTAAACAACAGTAAACTGTTAGGAAATTCTAATGTGTTATAGGCCAAAAAAAAGAATGAGGTTAGTGAATGCTTCAACAGTGCTTGAATAAAATACTGAATAGACAGTTACTAGAATATGGGTATGTAAAAATAGAGTAGTAGGATGATAGTACATTGCTTCTCAGGACACATGCTTTTCCAGAAGCTTTTCTTTCCTTTAGTAGGTGTTGACAGAAGACACACTCAGTCATTTTCCAACATAGATGCCTAGCCCCAGGGCTTTCATAAATCATGTGACCTTACATTCACTGGTTTTGCTCTGGTTCTTTCTCTCTCTCTTTTATGTTTATTTATTTTGCATGGAGAACTGGGGTATAGGCCAGAGGTGCAGAAGGAGAAAAGATTCACCAGAGACAGCAGAGAACAGCTGGATTTACTGAAATGTACTGCTAAGGGGTGAGGAGAGAGCGTCGCAGGCAAGACAGGAGAGGTCTGCTGCACCATATGTGAGTTAGCTCCCTGGCCAGGGATTGAACTCAGGCTACAGAGGTGATAGCACTGAGACTTTAACCCCTGGGCTACGAGGGGTCTGTCTCTGTATTAATCACTGGCCTTAATTTGTATAACTTTACACTACATTTTAATATTTGGTAAAGTAAGTTCTTCTACTTAATCCTTTATATTTGTCTTGCTTATTAGCAGTTTGATATCTTCATAGATTTTAGAATCAGTTTATCAAGTTCTCTACACATACAGATTTGGAAATTGATCAGAATTACATTAATTATCTTAGATTATGTATAAATTGGTGGTTTTTCAGTGTTGTGTCTGGTAGTGCATTTAAATTATCTTTTATGTTTCATTTTTAAAAGTTTCTCTGCAGAGATCTTGTATATCTTTTTTGGTTTATTCCTAAGCATTTCTGTTTTTTGATACCATTATCAATAAGCTTTTGCAGTAATCAGTGACCATGCAATTAATGGTTCATTATAATCTATAAAGACAGCTGAAAAGTTCATTGTCAGTGATCATCTACTAAATCCCAAATCTATTATATAACTGGTTTTTAATCCACCACTTTTTCAGTCAGTGTATCTGTGTAGGTAATTGTTAATATAAGGCCACAAGGTTAGTTCCAGTCATGTCCTGTGTATCATCTTCTGATTTTAATCCTATTTTTAAATTTTTTTGGTTAGACTTTGTTCTTACATATTTTACTTAGATGAGTTCTCACTTTTTCCATTTGTATGTCCTTGTGAATTATATCCCTTCAATTCCTGTGCAGCAGTAGTTTGGGGATTTTCTTGGTGTGGTTTGTGTTTGTTTCTTTAATTTCCTAGATTCTCTTTCAGTGTGGTTTTTTTGTTGTTGTTCTTTAAGATATATTTATTTATGCATACAGAATTGGATGAAGCCAGAGGTGCAGGGGCTGTGAGAGGCTTCACCAGACACAGGAGTGGTGAGCAGGACAGGTAGATGGACAAAGTACACTGCTTGAGGGAACCAGCAGACGGGTCTGGAGACGTCTGCCACGCCATATGGGTCACATCTGCCATCTGGATCACCTCTGGGGATGGGGATTGATATTGCACAGAAGCGGCTGTGGCCAGCTTACAGTGCTGCGTCCAATCCATTGCACCACCAGGGAGGGCCCAAATATGGGTGGTTTTTAATATGAAAATGCCAAAGAAAGAAGTGAAAACTAATTCTCACAGTCACAAACTAAGATTTAATATTCCCTTCGAGGGTATAATGACTTTTACTCAGTTTCCAGTGCCTTTTCAAGTATCGTATGTAGTTCATGTGTTTTTTTTTTAACCTGGACAATACAAAAGAAAAACTCAGATTTTCTTTAATCTGTATAATGAAATTGACATATTTTACTTTCTTTTATAACTTCTAGTTATTATATTGCTACTTTTCTCCATAGGATTTTGTACAACCAGCTTCTCAGTCTTTACCATTTTCCTAGGTAATTATTTTTGTTTTGAAACTTGTATTTACAAGTGTTAAAATAGCTGTCCATAACTTTTCAGGTGTTACGGGGTTGTGGATGAAGTATTATTATTTTTTTTTGAAGTTGTAATTTTTTAAGGTTGGTATAAAAGAACTTGTTTTGATGACAGTGAACATTTATTATATGTTTATTAATTATTTTGATTTTACTACTTTGGTTAGTAGATACCTGTTAAAGAAATGTACTGAGGAAGAAGGCAATTACAAAGAAAAAGTTTGCTCACAGAGAAAGGACTTAACTATATTCTGTTATTGTTTTAAAAACTGAAACAGTTTCAACTGGGGTGGGTAGAATGAAAGTTTTCATGAAAGTGCTTTTTGAGACAATCTTATTTTGAAAAAAATACCTATGTGTGAATCTAATATTTTTTAGTTCTTGGTCAGTTATATGTTAGGAATAGGTGCAGTTTATATGCATGAAAATTTCCTTTTTAGACTATGTAATTACTAATATTAGAGACTAGTAGTTAAAAGCAAATAGCTAATTTATAGTTATTTTTAATGTGGACGTGCTATCAGAGAAAATCTGATGGACTGCTCCTATGAATTAATATCTTGAATAAAATAAATTATGCAAATTTATATCTTTTGTTTTCCTAATGTTCCCTGTGTTTAGTTAAGGAAAAATGAAAATAAATGGACCTTTTATGTTTTTAGGCCCGGATAGCATTTTTGCAAGGAGAAAGAAAAGGTCAAGAAAACTTGAAGAAAGATCTAGTAAGAAGAATAAAGATGTTAGAGTATGCATTAAAACAGGAGAGGTATGTGTGCTTCATATTCTTACATGAGTAGAATAGACTAGTAGTATTCCCTTTTGTATCATTATACAGTATATTTGAAAACTCAAAAAGATAGAAAACCTTGCCCCAAATGCAAGATAATATTTTAATTTGTTATATAGGAAGAGAACAAAATTAAAAAATCTTTAATTTGAAATATCTTTTTTGACATAGAGTCTATGTTTTGAAAGTTGTTTTTAAAGGATTTGTACAAGACAGGAAAAATTTATCTTTACTTGAGTTAGGTGAAGTGTGCCATTTTCTTTATAGCAGTGTATTTTTTTTCTTCCTTTGCAAATAAAGTTTAAAGAAACATTTGTATTATATTTTGTTTTTGGAAAAAGATACAACTGTAGTTATTTAACTAATACTGTTAAATTTTCAGGGCAAAATATCACAAATTAAAATATGGCACAGAACTTAATCAAGGTGATTTGAAAATGCCAACGTTTGAATCAGGTAAAGTCAACTTTTCTATTAACTTTTGCTACCCCATTCAAGAAAATTTGTTTTAAGGCCCTTTTGATTTTCTCTTTACCCTCCTTTTGCTTTTCTAGAGTGGTTAGTCAATGGATTATAGTAATACAGTCTAGGATTTAGAGGACATTAATAAATGTTTAAAAGCTAACAAGGAGTTTTTTTCTGCATCTTAATCCTGAGGGTTTTTCCTTGTGTTAAAAACTACATAAAATTGGGCTCATTTTTCTAATAGAGAGTGAAGATAATAAGTCATTTTTCCTTTCTAAGCAATTCTTGTTTTATCCTGTATAAGCTTAACTTTTAATATTAAAAGTGTGTTTTTTTTTAAAGTGTTTTATCTGTAGAAGCTGTGGTTAATCAGTCTAGTTTAAACAAATCTGAAATTTGATTGAATTTGGAAACTATAGAAGCAGACAAATAAGGCTGAGAAGGGAAAAAATATTTCCATTGGCCTTGCTCTTTACTAAACAGTTATTGTGAATATATATCTGATAAACAATGTGCAGGGATGAGAGAGCAGAATGTAGGAAAGGCTAGTAGTTTAATGTTAATTTTAGCATTCCATATGATTTCAATTTGCTTATTCTAAAAGTGTCTAATTAGTAAGGGAAATAGAGATTTATATTACACAAATATTTGAGAATATTACAAATAATTTTTCTTGGGCATATTTGGAAACACATTTTTGATAGTATACTCAAATTGAATTCTTTGCTTTCTTGGATACTCATTACTGAGACAGAAAAAATATATCTTTACTTAGATAAACAGTGTTTCTTTTCCTTTCATAATTATTTCTATACCTAATAAAGTCAAATCTTATATGGTAGGGAAGACAACATTTATGTATGAGTTTTTTTAGTTGGGTATTCTAATAAATTCAAAAAATTTAGTAGTTAAACTTTAATTTTGACAGAAACACTCTGTAATCAGTTGATTTACTTTTGGATCTTTGGGTCATTTACACTACCAACTTGCAGCAGCAGAACCATTTCATACATATTCTATTTGTTTTTACATCTATAAAATCAGAGACCAATGTAGGACACTATGGATTTCTTTTCATCTGGCTTTTCAGTAATTATGAGCTCACTCTGATGCTAGAGAACAATATTATGATCTCTTTCTTAGAAAATCAACACTAGATGGCAAAAGCTGGAAGATCTACATAAAAAGCCATACTTACTTGCAAAGTCTCACTTATAAAGTACATGACTTCATCATAGAAAAAAATCTGATAGTGTTAAAACTTTTTCTTTGACTCATTTTCTTTCTAATATGACCAAGTATTCAGAAAATAAGGGGTAGCATTGTACAACTTGAGGTCTGTTATAGCTTAGTCTGTGTAATGTGAGGAAGGAGGCTGGCTGTGGTCACATTGTTCCTGAAGGCAGAATCAGAATCGGCTAGCTGATCTCAGTGCAATAATTTGTAAAAAGCACAGTCATTACCAGATCAACTCACTTTCTGGCAACTGAAGAAAGATCGAAAGAAGTCTGTTTTTATTTACCTTTTACCTATTAAAAATTTACAGGTTGAGGAATAAAATAGTCAAGTAATTTATAGGAGATGATAAGTAGATTGCTTTTACTGATGGAGAAAAACTATTCAGGTTTAATATTGAAAGAAATGTGTAGGAAAAATTGCTACAATCAAACAAAATAGGGTTGTTATTTACATCAAAATATAAATAAGCATCAAATGAATTAATGCTGCGTTTATATACCCAAAAAAGTGTAGTGAGTAAAATGCAAAATAATTAGAAGTACAGGTTTGCATGATTTTTTACCTTATTTTATATATAAACACACACATACACACATCTCCTATCTTGAGTGCTATAAAAGGGATTGCATCGTAAGTATGTAAAGAGGATATCCAAATGACCAGTAAGTGTATGAAACAGTGTTCAGTATAATTGGTTATTGAGAAAACACAACTTAAAGTCACTGTGCAGTACAATTAGACAACCAGAAGTGTTGACAAAATGTTGGGCAGCTAAATTTGTGGACTTTTAAGTGGTGTTTGAATTGTAAATTGATAAAATTGCTCTAAAGTAATTTATCACTGTAATATTTAAGGGAACATAACATATACCCTATGCCCCACTATTTCTAATCCTTGGTCTTCTGCCCTTTAAAATGTGTGCATATGTTCATCATAGGCTTGTATAAGGATGTTCACAATAAGAAACAACTTGAATGCCTTTCAACATTAGAGTGGATAAATACATTTCAGCATAACAGTGTGCAATTTGGCAATGACAGTGAACAAACAGCTTGACAGCATTTGCGGGTCATATAAGATTGAAAATTGATATAAATGATTTTTATATCAAATAAAACATTAACCTGTTTTTTAGAAATCAGGGTAGTATTGATACCTTTTTAAGAGTATCTAATATCTTGGGATTAACAGAGGGCACAGGGAAAGTTTTTGGAATGCAGATAATGTTTCTTCATCTAGGTACAGGTTACATGGAAATGTTGCCTTAGCAGTATTAATTATAATAGAGACGAGTTTCAATATTAATGAACTGTTTAAATGAAATACATACTTTCTGTGGAAAATTACATACTTTCATATGTTAATCTACAGTCCTATAGAGAATGTTCAAGATACATTGCCAAAAGTTTCCTGTGCTGTATAATGCACATTGCCCCTCATCTGTTTTTCAAAGTGTGGAGAAGCTTCTGTATATATTTTCAGATCAAATGTTACAGTTTCAATTACTAACACTTGGTAAAAGTGTTAAAAATAAAATTTTAGCAATTTTCTGTTTTAATTATTTTTTCCCAGTGATTATCACATTTAATGATTTTTTAAAGTGGTAAAGAAATTATAAATAAAAATATTGGGGAACTAGTCACATGAAATGATTATTTCTAGGAACCATAGAAATTCCTGGGGTGAAGAAGAAGAAATTACCAGGATTTTTAGGGTTTGAGAATTAACTGCCTGCAGAGAATATTTGAATTACTGTTACTACGTATTCATTCATATGACCGAAAACCTAACAACTGTGAGCCATTATCACAGTGCTGAGCATTTAGTGGGAAGTGTGAAGATTAATCTTTTATGATCCTCCCTACCTTTTACTTTCATTATAATTCTTGTGGGAATTTATTGGAGAATATTTCTAGACTATCATTAGTGCCAATAAACCATTTTTAAATTTCATTCTTGTGATACTTATCTGAAATTATACTGTTACTGAGCTTATATACATTGTGCCTCAGAATAAAACATACCTCTTAACCAACAGTAAAAAAGATTTTCTAATTTAAATGTAGTTCTAAAAATGAAGACTTATAGTATAGACTTAGAGCTCATTGATAGTTAAATTATTCAGTAGTTTTTAATATATAATTTCTTAAATGTTAATTTTGAAAGTTTACATAAATATTTAGCATAACCATTGAATTTCAAAAACATTCAACTTAATGGAATTCGGGTAGTTAAAAACTTTAATTTTAATAATATTTCATGTCAAATTCTGGGCTTTTGGGTGTTGAATCTCTGGTAGTAAATGTTAATGTACTAAATTTTAAAATGAGAAGGGAATACCTAAGTGTTTGAGTTATTGGGACAAACAGTGAGTGATCTCTGGTAAATTCTCAATGAAAGTTAGTTTTTTTCTGTCCTTTATAAAATATTAGGTTTATTTTTGTGGAAATTTATCCTTAAGGAAACTGATAATATTTAAAGTAACGAGTATGTCACTTTTTATTAAATTTATAGAAGAAACCAAAGACACAGAGGCTCCTACGGCACCTCAAAATAGCCAGTTAACGTGGAAGCAAGGAAGACAGCTGTTAAGACAGTGAGTGAATGGTTCATTTTCAGCTTTCTTAAGAATCTACTATTGAGAGCGTTTGCCTTCAGTTAATTTGCAATTATGATAGTGGGACAGTGTATATTTTTCATATTGCTGCCTTGTTTTATTGACACTGGGCTGTTACTAAAGTTTTCTCTAAGTTTCACAGTATTTTTTATAGGATAGAATGTTTCTAACAGTGAGTGATTTGAATGATGGAACAAAAAATACAGAATTTGTGCTTGTAAACACTCATTCACATCACTGCAAAATTTACATATTTGGTTTTTCTTTTAAGTAGAGAAGGAATTTTTTATTTTATTTTATTATTATTTTTTAATGAAAAAAATTTTTTTAAAGATTTATTTATTTATTTGTACAGAACGGGGGTACAGGCCAGAGATGCGGAGGGTGAGAGGATTTATCTGGGACAGAGTGGGGAGCAGAACAGGCAGATCGATGAAGTACACTGCTGAGGGGAGCAGCGGGCAGGTCAGGAGAGGTCTGCCGCGCCATGTGGTCACCTCCGGGGCAGGCGGGGATTGAACTCATGGGAAGTGGCTTAAGCTTCTTAGTGCAGTGCTTTAACTGGCTGCGCCACCAGGGAGGGCCAGAAAAGGAATTTTACTGATTATTTGAAACTTACGAAAATGACTTGTCAAATTCAATTTTTGCTTGAAGCTTTGAAAAACATTTCGGAATTTGAGTTCTTTGCTGTATTAGAAGTACTTTTGTGGTAAATATTTTCTTTTAATACATTTGTTCTCGTATTTTAAAATCTTTTACATTTGAATCTGTGTCCTGGATGACTTGTAATTAATCAACCTTCAACTGTAGACATCATTACCCTCCTTCGGGAACCCAGTAAAGCATGGTTAGACACTTCATTTTGTTTACTAAAACCTCTGGGATATTTTATGTTCTCGTGGTCATCTTACTTTTATGTTCAGATCCTTGACTTCATTTTCCTCCTGAACTATTCTACCTGTGGCAATTTTTATTTCTCTAACTTCAGGTTAGGCTCCATGTCCCATTCCCCTTTGGTAGTACCCTTAGCTTTCTTGCTGCCACTCTTCACCCTTTTCCACCAGTAATTTTGCTATATTTATCTGAAACTCCAGTCTCGATCATCTTGCCATCTGTTGCTCCTCTCTCATTAATTCTTGGGAAAAATATCACAGAATTTTAAATTTTACTTAAAATAAGAAAAACTCTTGAAGTGCAAAAAATTGAGATGGGAAATGAGATTATGAAATAAGTAAATTTTATTCATTGGAAGTTAATGTAAGAAGCTGTAAATGTGTGCATTTATTAAATGAAATTATCTCTTTGCTTAAAAAAATAACTGGTGTAGCATTGAAGATGTCTGATAGACTAAAAACATCTGGGATACGTTCTTACTCTAGTTTTCTACTTCTTTGTGTATTAATTTTATTTCTTTATACTGAAAATCATTTTCTCTAGATGTCAGGATATTCTAGACTAGTTTCTGAGGATTAGCATTGACTTGATAAGATCCCACAATTACTCAACAACCAGTTTTTAATATTTTTTGTTAAACCTGGGCTATATAAGCTCTTGTCAGCTCATTCATGCAGCAAGGTTAGCGTGTGATAGTTGTTTTTCCTAAAAGGTAATCACATTATACAGAAGAGTGGGACTATACTGGAGAAAACAGTTGCATAGTTATTTCATAAATGCCTAATCCCAATGCTTAGACTTATATTCTGTTACTTCTCACCCTTACTCTTTTTTTTTTTTTTAAAGGTTTACTTATTTATTTATACAGAATTGGGGTATAGGCCAGAGGTGCAGGGGCAATGACAGACTTCTCCTGAGACAGAGTGGGGAGCAGGACAGGCAGATGGGCGAGGTACACTACTGAGGGGAGTAGCGGGTGGGTCAGGAGAGGTCTGCTGCACCATGTGGGTCACCTCCAGGGCTGGGGGTAAAACTCCTAGTGGAGCGGCTGCGGCTAGCTTGCAGCACTGTGTCCTAACCCGTTGCGCCACCAGGGAGGGCACTAACCCTTTCTCTTTAAGATATCTCCATAGTCTTCCTGTTTCATTTTTCAGCTGTCTATTCTGTTTTCCATTTTGATACTCGACAGAAATAACTGTCACAGACAGATAGATAATTAACAGTTACTTCTGAAAGTATCATAGCGTGTACCACTATTTCATTTCTCCCTTTCATTTTTGAAGTACTTTCTTTTCATTTTCTTGAGTTCCTCTTATTATCTAGCTCTTCAGTTTTGGTATCCCAGGCTTTCTGTTATTATTTACTATTTTTCTCTGGGTAACAACCCTATTTAAATCTCTGGCTTCAAATACCACCAAGCATGACTCTCAAATTTATATACTTAGTCCATCTTTTCTGAACTTTGACCTTTTTTATCCTTTCCATAGTAAATGTTTCTTTTATAGATTTATGTTTGTCAGATAGATACTTGATAAACTGGATTCTGATTCCTTTTCCTCATCTTACTAAATTGAATCATCACTCAATCACCTGAACTAGAAAGCTGAAAATTGCTGAAATTCTTAAATCATCTTTATTCTCTTGCCATATTTATTTGTACACCAAGTCTCTAAGAGGATATCTTGCTTATTTATCTCAAACTTACTCTTTTATTCAACTCCTGATTGTATTAGTGTCGCAACAAATCTCCTTGTCTTTAATTTTTTTCTGTTCTTTTATCATGCGCCTCTTTAGCATTTTCCTTACTCTATCAAATATTTCAGGTAGAAATTCTTTGTCACACACAGACACTTGTGACTAATCTATAAGAATGTCATTATCTGGCCCATTTTCTTCCCATCTCATTCTGGATTCCAGATTAAGTACCCTCTATGTAGAAAATTTGAAGACCATGAACCACAGTAATGACTTAATATCTTAAGAGCTTAGATACTAGAAGAACAGCCTATCCATCAACCTTTGGCTAACAACTCAGATTTAAACATCATATCATTGTTTTGAAGTGTAATTTTACTCATTCTTTGCCACTTCTTGCACATCTAATTTTGTATATACTATATATTGTAAACTTCTAATAGCCTTTTATGGCTATAGAACTTTTTAGTTTCCAAAATAAATGTTCCTTATTCAGTGCTTACCATACTGTATGTTTCTTAATTGATCTTACTGTCTTAGAACTAGTCTATATAGGAAAATTGAGACAAAGTAGTCTATTTTATAGAATTGTGGATTTTTCTAAAAGTCTATTAACATGGTTTTCAGTCTTGGCAGATGATAACACATGGGTTTTAATATTTGTAATTTTCTCTTACAGATATCTTCAGGAAGTAGGTTACACAGATACAATATTAGATGTACGGTCTCAGCGAGTAAGGTCATTACTTGGACTATCTAATTCAGAACCAAATGGATCAGTAGAAACAAAGAATTTAGAACAGATCCTGAATGGAGGTGAATCTCCTAAGCAAAAAGGACAAGAAATCAAAAGGTATGACATATACTTAGTAGGTTAATTTTTTTTTTAAGATTTTATTTATTTTTGTGTAGAACTGTGGTATAGGCCAGAGGTATGGGGGTGAGAGGATTCACCAGACATAGAGTGGGGAACAGAGCGGACAGATCTAAGATACACGATTGAGAGGAGCAGATGGTAGAAGTCTGCTGTGCCCTAATAAGTGGGTTGGCTCCTTGGCTAGGGGTTGAACTCAGTTGCCTGCAGTGGTCTGTTGCAGTGATAGCACTTAGATTTAACCCCTCGGCCACCAGGAGGCCCTTTTAATTGTTTTTTTTTTTTTTTTTTTTTTTTAAAGAAGATACAGTTTACCTTTTTTTTTTTTTTTTAAGATTTATTTATTTATGCTTACAGAACTGGGGTACAGGCCAAAGATGTGGTGGGTAAGAGGATTCACCAGAGACAGAGTGGGGAGCAGAACAGGCAGCTCAGTGAGTAACACTGCTGAGGGGAGCAGCGGGCAGGTCAGGAGAGGTCTGCTTTGCCATGTGGTGCGTCATCGAACTCATACAACAGTGACTTCTGAGAGCTTTATAGTGCAGAGCTTTAACCCGGTTGTGCCACCAGGGAGAGCCTGATCTAGTTTAGTTTTAAGGCTTTTCCCACAAACTGGTATCTCTTCTAACCCAAGAGTAGTGGTGTGTATTCTGGTGAAGGTGAAGTGGCAATTTTTGATTTCTTAAGAAATCATATAACTATAAGGTAGGGTAGGTTACTATTCTGAAAACAGGAAGATTATGTGATTTATCTCTAGCTGAGCAGTGATATTCCCTGTTTTCTTCATTTTGGCTTGTTTGATTGACAGCTGAAATTATAACCCTTCTAGGTAAGATACTGAAATTAATTACATTAACACAAAAGATCCGTTATACTGATAGAGCTCTGCCAGTGAAATAATTGGACCTCTGTACTGTCAGGCCATGGTGAAGCCAGCTTTTTGGACAGCCTCATCTTATATCCGGTTAGCTTTTTTTTTTTTAACCTCAATCTTAAAAATGAATATTTAGAGAATGACTTAAATGTGAAAAGAGAGACCAAAGGAAACAAAAAGGGACTCAGAAAACCTGAAACAAAAGACTTTCAAAACTTACTTTTCCAAGAGAACTGAGATAATACATCTGCAAAACATATAGCTTATCACTTTAAAAGCTTCAAAGATTTGAAAGAACTAATAAAAATTGAAAAGTGTGAGATAAATAACTTCAGTGTAAAATTAGAGAGTAAGGTTGAACTTTTTACTTTTATGCCAAAAGTAAAGAAAGACGCTTTTGCTACTCCTAAAGCCAAAGCAAAAGTTTTGAGTGCCAGAAAAGCAGTGCTGAAAGGCACCCATAGCCACAAAAAAAAAATATCTGTGGGAGGCCCAAGACTTTCAACTCCAAAGACAGTCCAAATATCCTCATAAGAATTCTCCCAGGAGAAAAATCTTCACTACTTTGCCATCATTGAGTTCTCCCTGACCACTGAGTTAGCCATGAAGAAAGAAGACAACAACACACTTGTGTTTGTTGTGAGTGCCAAGACCAGCAAGCAGATTAAACAGGCTGTGAGGAGGTTCATTGGCAGAAGACAAAAGTTCTTCATCACATGAGTGACTTGTGAAATTTTCTCCAACTCTGTAAACTTCTCTTTATTTTTTTTTTAAAGATTTATTTATTTTTGCATATAGAACTGGGGTACAGGTCAGACGTACTGGGGGTGAGATCATTCACCAGAGACAGAGTGGGGAGCAGAACAAGCAGATTGATGAATTATACTACTGAGGGGAGCAGCGGGTGGGTCAGGAGAGGTCTGCAGGGCCCTGTGGGTCAGCTCCCTGGCTGGGAATTGAACTTGTGCTGCAGTGGCTGCGATAGCTTCTAGTGCTGCACTTTGAGTTAATCTGCAAGCTACTCTTTAAATTTTCTTCAATATTTTTCCAGTAGTGAAGTTTACTAGTTATGCTCTATTTGCTTAAAACCATGTATGTATACTCATGTGATCAAATATAATTTTTAAAAAGTAAAACATAAGTTCTCATTTTAAAGACAAACTTTGCATGCAAAGGGCAATAATACATAATTTATCAAAGTTTAAAATAAATTCTCATATCCTAAATTTACAATTTTCTGTTTTTCTGTCATTGAAGTTCTAATTTTATCAAACATTTTCTTTGCCATTTTTAACCCCCAAATATTAAGGTACAAATATTGAACTCAGAAGTACTTAAGATTTGTGGTTAGTTTATGTTTGTTTTTACTAATTTTACTTGGAAGAGTTAATCTTTCTGCATTTAGTTTTTATACTGAACTCTAAACAATGTATTGGATTAGGCAAAGTACTGTAGATCTATTAAACATTATGTCACATTAAAGTGCTTTTTTTTTTTTTGTACATACAGAACTGGGGTACAGGCCAGAGGCTCAGGGGTGGTGAGAGGCTTCACCAGAGACAGCGTGGGGAGCAGAACAGGCAGATCGACGAAGTACACTGCTGAGGGGAGCAGCGGGCGGGTCAGGAGAGGTCTGCCACGCCATGTGGTCACCTCTGGGGCAGGCGGGAATCGAACTCATGCTGAAGCGACTTTAGATTCTCAGTGCTGTGCTTTAACCCGCTGCGCCACCAGGGAGGGCCTAAAGTGCTTTTTAAGAATAACCTGAATTGTATTATAGCCTTAATTTGGATTAATGGAACCAATAAGGGAGACTCAAACACCTCTAAGTTTTAGGTTATTCTCTTGTGACCGTATACTCTTAAATAGATGTTTACCTACTAAATTATTTGTGTGGTTCCAAAAGACTCAGAAACATTTCTTTAGAAAATTAAGGTTCCTGATTTTCAGTTAAGAAAATCTGTGAAAAGGATTGATATGTTACTAAATTTAGAATCTGGATGGGCAACCAGATAAACTTGGATTCTAGATCAAGCTATACGAGGTTGTAAAGCTGTTAAGTTGCTTGTTTGCGCTTTGAGATAAAGTAACACATTTGAGTGTCTAGACTAAAGGATTTATTTTGATGCAGTATGTAGAATATTTTGCACAATAAATATTGGAGGAAAAATCAATATAACACTTTAATCACAGAATATAAATTTACATTGTTTCATTTTGTAAAATGTTGAGACTCAGTGTTTTAAGTAGGCTATTTGAATTTCATGCTACCATCAAGTATTGTTTTAAATTACTTCTTTTAAACCAAATAACAATATTAGAATTAATCATTGGTATATTTTGATTTACTTTTTTTTTTTTAAAGATTTATTTATTCATTCATACAGAACTGGGGTATAAGCCAGAGGTGCAGGGGTGGTGAAAGGCTTCACCAGAGACAGAGTGGGGAGCAGAACAGGCAGGTCGACGAATTACACTGCTAAGGGGAGGAGCGGGCAGGTCAGAAGAAGTCTGCCTTGCCATGTGGGTCACCTCCAGGGTAGGGGATCAAACTTGCACTGAAGCAGCAGCAGCCAGCTTGCAGTGCTGTGTCCTAACCCGTTGGGCCACCAGGGAGGGCCCGATTCACCTTTTTTTAATACCCCCCTTTTACAGGCCCTCTGGTGATGTTCTTGAGACATTCAATTTCTTTGAAAATGCCGATGACAGTGACGAAGAGGAGGAAAATGACATGATTGAAGGCATCCCAGAAGGAAAAGACAAACATCGAATGAATAAACACAAAGTAGGAACTTGATATCATTTTCTTTGTGGGTAGAATATATATACTCATCTACTTAGAATAGGATTTTCAAAATGACTTGAGTTACATTGGGAATGTAATTGTTTTTATTTTGCCATGTCACTTGAAAGTTTTATAGTAAGTCTTACTGAATTAACAGCATGTACTAGTAATTGTTATTTGCTGTCTTATTCTAATATAGCCAGTGTCAATGAAAGGACTATTTATAGGACAAGTCCAATGTAAACTTCCCTTTAAATTTTTAAAAATCAACTCTCTCTTCACTCTGGCAACAACTAAGAATCACTGCTTAAGTCTCTGTTCCATATGTCAGTAAGTTAAAATTAATTGAAGCTATAATAATGATGCTCTTGGTGAGTGAGGGAGTACTCTACAGATTGTAAATGTTTGCTTTAATATTCACATTCTTGGGCCTCCCTGGTGATATAAGGGGGTAAGCCTCAGTACTGTGAAACTATCCTCAGTCACTGTAGCATGAGCACAAGCCCCAGCTGGGTAGCTGCCCACATGGTGCAGCAGATCTTATTTGTCTTCCCTGCTGCTTCCCTCAGCAATGTATTTCAGAAGATCTACAATTCTGCTCCCCACTCTGTCGCTGGTGAATCCTCTCACCTACTCAACCCCACCCTAGCATCTGTGGCCTGTACCCCAGTTGTTGTATGCATAAAAAAATGAATTAAAAAAAGACATTGTTTGATAAGAATTAATAAAAAAATTACTTTGTTCATAAATACAAGAAACAGGTTTATCTGTTTGTAGGGAGGAGGTATATGTTAACTATAGGAGTAAGAGTAGATAAGATGATCCATTTGTGAATTTTTATAATGAGTATAAGAAGATAGATTCAGTTGTGATTCTTTTGGCTCCTATGTTACAATGGGGAAAATGGTTGTGTTCCTCAAGCTCCCAGTCTACAATAAGTTTTCCACTTCTCTCCCAGGTGTGATGTACTCTCTCAGGTGAATAGCTACTTTGTTGATTATTTACTATTTTGCTGTTTTGGGAATTAAAGCACTATTAAAATGATCATTGTTACAACTTAACATTAGTTAATATCCTTATTAGCTGTGCCCTGTGTCTTTGAATTATGGACTATATATGCCATTCTTAGTAAGATTAGTTCTTGATATTACAGTGTTGAGTGAATAGTTTTTAATAAGGGTAACTGAATCTTATAATTAAAGATTAACTATTCTTGGTAAGCATTTTAAATATACTTGCTTTTGCATTATTTGTATCACATTTTACAACTAGTCTTTTTATAACACTGTTCAGAATTTTTCAGGGTATAATTTGAGATTAGCAAACTACATGGAAATTCTAGAAATTTTGACTTATGTAATTTAAAATTTGGGGTATAAATGTTAGGTTAATTGTGTGAAAACATAAGAGACCTCTTTAAAATTTAGGATAATTTTGGCTTATGTTCTGTTTACAGATAGGTAATGAAGGCTTAGCTGCTGACCTTACTGATGATCCTGATACTGAGGAAGCACTGAAAGAATTTGATTTTTTAGTGAATGCTGAAGATGGTGAAGGAGCTGGGGAAGCACGGAGTTCAGGGGATGGCACAGAATGGGGTAAGGACATAGAGAAATACAGGGGTGGGAGAACATCTATCCCTAAAAGATAAATTTTTAATTAAATATTATATGGCAATGTGGTTATCTGGACTATAACTACATAATGGTAGTTATGCTGAAAGCAAGAGGAAGTGGTATTGAGTAACTTCAAAGTAATTTGTGCCAGTTTACATAGATTTGGTGACTTATGTTTAATATAACTTTGGAGGACCCTGATAAGTTTGTGTATAGTTGTAAACATTTCCCTTATTCAATTTCGTAATGTGTCTAGGTTTTAAGAAGATTTTGTCTTTTTACAATGCCTATATGGTGTTACCTGACTTACCACGAGGAAGGGATAAAGCTGCTAATATTGAATTATAGTTCTGCATTGAAAAAGTTTTAATGAAAGTAGTAAACTTTGTTATATAAAAAAGTTAGCGTGCAAATACTAGGGCCTAACCTGTAGAAGTGATATATAAGGTTAAAAATAATTTAACCATAACTAGAAGGGAGAAACACTAGAAGGGAGAAACTCAATTCTGTTTTTATTATTATACTCTTAATATCCAAGTAGAATGTGAAAATGTAAAAAGAATACTAAAAGATTATAGCTGAGGTTTAAGTATTCTATTTCTATTAAGTATTCATTTACCATGTTATTTGATAGATAGAACTCAGATTCTGCCTAAAGAATTTTACTAAATACCTTAATGTATTAAATACCTTAATGTATATTTCACAGGAATGTTGCTTAGTTATTAGCAAGTGGAATTATCCTTAGATATTTTTTTTTTTTAAAGATTTATTTATTCATATAGAGCTGGGGTACAGGCCAGAGATGCGGAGGGTGAGAGGATTCACCAGAGATAGAGCCGGGAGTAGAACAGGCAGATCGACGAAGTACACTGCTGAGGGGAGCAGCGGGCGGGTCAGGAGAGGTCTGCCACGCCATATGGTCACCTCCGGGGCAGGCGGGAATCGAACTCATGCAGAAGTGGCTTTAGATTCTCAGTGCTGTGCTTTAACCCGCTGTGCCACCAGGGAGGGCCCCCTTAGATATTTTTTTAAGTGGCTTTGGAAGTTGGAAACATTTGGATTTTAAAATTGCCTCATTTATGTATTGAAACTGAAAATTATCAATAGCAGTGGAGATTAACATAATAAATAATATATTGACTAGACACAAATGGTATATTTACAAGATCAAAATTTTGTTACTAGATGACTCAATTGTTTAGAAATCTCAAATATTGTTTACTACATCTTTATTTCTTAAGTGGAAAGAGACATATTAGTTGAAAACATGAAAATCACAATTATTTTCTAGTATATTTTTGTACTTACCCATTTGAAGATCAATTGCTATATTCTAGTTTACCCTTCTGAAGAATTAGCTTCACTTAAGAGAAACAACTAATTATTTAAGCTTTCTTTTTAACTTCTGTGGAACCCATTCAATATTGCAAATACCTTATCTTTTTCTAGTGATTTCTAAAGTACTGTTTATCTTTTTCTGGATTATTTATGTAAATATATAAATGATTATTTTATAATTCTTGTATGTTTTAGAACTCACAAGTACATATGAAGAAGGAAACTAAGAATCACCTGTAACTAGCTACTATATAACTAATTACATTTATATAAAAACATGTATTAAAGGATTTGGCTGTGGGCTGATTTATAGCCCACACTTTTTACTTAATATCTTGTTCTTTTGCAATATTTTTCAGTAGTAGTATAATAATCTTTCAGTACACCCATTATTTATTCAACCATGACCCTACTAGGATGCACATTTTGATTATTTTTTTAACCTCGAACTCCTGGAAATTTAACCACTGGTCAAAAGGCTAAACATTTCAGTAATTTGAATTATGTAAGATAACATTGTTTCTTTGATAAAAGTACCATAGTAATATGTATATTTTTTTGGCCATTCTATGCAAATACTTTTCACTGTTGAGTACAGTTTCAAGAGAAGATCTAATTAGTGGGTGTCTAATGACACTCACTACCTACTTTACTTTTACTGTTAATATTTGAGAATGCCCTGAAACTGTTTGTGTGATAAAAGTTACTGACAGTCTCTCATCTTTCAAATAAAACAGGGACATCTTGAAAGCATTTTAGGTTATTGAGAAAAAAGACTCAGACTTACAAGTAGATTCTTTCCTTTGGAAATGAAAACTGTCAAAGGATATTTGTAGTGTTTCTGAAGTTGATTATTTCTACTCAGTTGGTGTATTTAGTTTTTTCAGAACAAGGATGATGAATATATGAATGCATTAATTAAAATGTAAACTTTTATATGGGAATGTGATAGTTTTTGGCTAAATTATTAGGTAAAGGACACCGGTGGGATGTGTATGTTTGTGTGTGTGTGTATATATATATAATAGTTCTAATGAAGCAATCAGTACTCCACCTACAATGGATCAGTTACTTCTTACTTTGTATACTAGCAGTGTATTCTATAGCTCTAATTTGGAATCCTTTTGTTGTATGAAGTCACTGTATTTTAGAGAGCTTTCAATCCAGTTTTTCTTGTCATGTCACTCTGAGTTTTAGTTTTCATAATCAAAAATTAGAGTGGGCATTTCTAGTTTTGCTGTTTTCTTATAGAAACTATGTATTTTAAGGATGTTTAGTTATTTTTTCCTGTACTTTATAACTGATCTCTATAGATTTATAAATTATAAAATGTAATTTATACCTGAATGTTTGTATTTCAACATAATCAATACTATTTGTTAGTTGTAAATTTATGTTACACTTTGTTTTTCTTATTTCTCTGCTTTGGTAGTTAGAAATACCACACTAGAATTTTACGCTTTTGTGGTTGTGAGTAGTAAAGGGACAATTTTTTTGGTGTTGTGTGTGTGTGTGTGTGTTTTTAAACAGAAATGTTCCTGTAACTGATTCAGCCACATTTCATTGTATTTTTTCCCCTCCTAGTTTAAAAAAAAAAAAAAAACAAATTGTAGAAGATTATGCTGCCTCTTCCCTTTTGCTCTTATCTTTTTCTTATAAGCAGTATCAAATCAGCTGTTACATACCAGGCAAGTTTTCAGGATGTTGCTTGTGCATATACACATTCACCAACCTGTTCTTTACACTTACTCTTACTCCCTTTGCTTTATTTCACTGACCTTTGCAACCTTAGAGCTATTCACAATTTTATTTTTCCATAAAAAGGTCTTTTTTAAAACTGTCTTGATAATTTTTCTAAATGCCTGTTTGAAGTTAATGCTATTTAAGGTTTTTTAGTTTATTTTTTGAGTTTTCAAAAGTAATTGCTCAAAATGTCTTACTTTTAGTAGTCAGTTATAAAAATAAGAATTGTTATTAGCTTTAAGTTGAGTGCAAAATCCTTAGGTCACATTTTTTTCTGAAATATTCAGTAAGTTGACAGACCAATACCTGATAACAGAATAGTTTTCAGGAAATTTTATGATTAGAGGATGTAAAAAGTGAATTTTCTTTTTAAATTATTAGTTATACTACATGAATTTTAAACAGTATTACAACTTGCAGATTTGACATATAAGCTTACATACTCATTTTAATCATGCGCAACCTCTTTTGAGGAAATTTAAGGTAGCACAATTAATTTAGTTTTAGATTTAGCATTTTACATACTATGTATGATCGTGTTGGGAAACTCAAAATATATTAGTAATTGGATTTCTATGTGCCTTTATGAAAATTTCTTTACTTTTTGCCACCTATAGCAATCAATAAGGGAAGTAAAAAACACTGCTCTTTATCCACTGTGTAGATTAAGACAGTGAGGCCTAGCAAGCCTGCAAGACTCTGGAGGTATCAAAAGTTTAACAGATATTACCTTAGATATTTTTGCTTGACTTTTTTTTTTTAAGATTTATTTATTTATGCTTACAGAACTCTGGGATACAGGCCAAAGGTGTGGTGGGTGAGAGGATTCGCCAGACACAGAGTGGGGAGCAGAACAGGCAGTTGACAAAGTACACTGCTGAGTGTAGCGGTGGGCGGGTCAGACAGGTCTGCCACACCATGTGGGTATGCTGGCCGGGGATTGAACTCATGCTGCAGTGGCTTCGGAGAGCTTCATAATGCTGTGCTTTAACCCGTTGTGCCACCTGGGAGAGCCCTGCTTCACTTTTTTTTTTTTAAGATTTATTTATTTATGTGTATAGAACTGGGATGCAGCCCAAAGGTGGCCGGGTAGGGTTGAGAGGATTCACCAAAGACAAATTCATCAAAGACAGACAGGGGGCAGAAGAGGCAAATTGAATGAAATACACTGCTGAGGGGAGCAGCAGGCAAGACAGAAATCTGCTGTGGCTAGCTTGGCGGTGCTGTGCTTTAACTTGTTGTACCACCTGGGAGAGCCCTGATTTTTTGCTTGACTTACCTTAGCATTTTGGTGTAACTTTTGTCATTAAATAGTGTTATATAAACTTACTAAATAGGGTCATATAAATTCCTAGTCATTATCTTGGTGCAAATGTTAATCTTTCTAATAATATGGTTGTTTTAAACTAAAGAAAAAAAGCATTTAACACTTAAAATAATTTAAAATACTTACACACTACTGCTTTTTAATGCTGTCTTTCTTCCACTTTACGATAAAGTACATTTTTTTTCCAGGCCACAAGTATTTACTAAAAGAATACGGATTTGTTAGCTGAAATAACAGACATACCCATCTTTAGCAGATGCACAACAGTTTAGTTTTCACTGTACCTGCTTGTCATAGCTTTTCTCTACTCTTAAAAAAAAAACCACTAAAAATATTCTTCAGTGGAATTTGAGTTTTGTTTTACAAATTTCAGTTGTAGAACAAATGGAAGAAGGTAATGAGATGCTGAACTGCTTGGGTGGGATGAGGGCAGAGGTGGGATTCTCTGAATGTTTTTATGGATTATTTGAGATGTATTTTGGAAGTATATTTGTTATATTGGGCTGAAATGCCTCTCCATTGGTGTAGTATCCCTTGCATGCAGAAGCAGTGTGACATAAGGTGCATGAAT